GGATGGGGTGGACTGGGGGTCCCACCTTCTGGGTGACGTCGGTGCCGTTGTGCACCCCCTCCTCCAGCAGCACCTGGAACACTTCCCGCAGGAATTCCTCCCCCGCCGCGTTATCCAGGCCCGGCTCATCCAGAGGGATCCCCTCCCACGTCCCGGAGGGATCAGCCATGGGAGCTTGGGAATCCTGGGATGAGGTGCTCCTGGAATGGGGTTTTCCTGGAATGAAGTGATCCTGGGGTGAGTTTATCCTGGGATTAGGTGATCCTGGGATGAGGTGATCCTGGGATGAGCCTCTCCTTGGAATTAGGTGATCCTGGAATTTGGTGATCCTGGGGTGAGTTTCTCCTGGGATTAGGTGATCCTGGGATGAGCCTCTCCCTGGAATTAGGTGATCCTGGAATGAGGTGATCCTGGGATGAGTTTATCCTGGAATTCGGTGATCCTGGGACGAGTTTCTCCTGGGATGAGCTGATCCCACAATTAGGTGCTCCCAGGACAAGGTGATCCCGGGATAAGGCTCTCTGGGAATGAGGCTCTCTGGGATTAAGGTGGTCCTGGAATCAGCTGCTCCCGGGATGAGGTTCTCCCTGGAATGAGGTGATCCTGGAATTCAGCAATCCCAGGATAAGGTCCTCCTGGGATAAGGTGATTCCAGAGGTTCTGCTGTGCCGGGGTGGTTTTGGGATGAGGATCAATCCAGCATTGGGTGCCTCTGGAATGAGGAATTCGGGATCGGGCACTCCCAGGACAAGGTTCTCCCGGGACAAAGTTCCCCTGGGATGAGGCGATCCCGGAATCAGGTGCTCCTGGGATGAGCTTTTCCCGGGATCTCCGGGCTCAGGGTTCTCCCGGCTCCTCTCAGCTCCCCCAGGATGGAATTTTCCAGGCTCAGGTGCTCCCAGGACAAGGTTCTCCCGGGACAAAGTTCCCCCCGGGATGAGGTGATCCCGGGACAAACCGATCCCACAATCAGGTTTCTCCCGGGATCAGGTTTTCCCGGCTCCTCAGGCTGGAATTTTCCAGGCTCAGGTGTTCCCAGGATGAGGTTCTCCTGGGATGAGGCGATCCCGGGATCAGGATTTCCTGGGATCAGTTTTCCGAGATCAAGCTCTCCCAGCTCCACTCTCTCCCCTGCCCAGCATGGAATTTTCTGGGATCAGGCCCTCCTGGGATCAGCTTTTCCCGGTTCCATGTTCTCCCATCTCCTCTCTCCCCTCTCAGGACTGGAATTCTCTCAGATCAGGCTCTCCCATGATCAGCTTTTCCCGGGATCAGGCTCTTCCGGGATGGAATTTTCTAGGATCGGGCTCTCTCGGCTCCTCTCTTCCCTCCCAGGCTGGAATTCTCTGGGATCAGGCTGGAATTCTCAGGGATCAGCCTCTCCCGGCTCCTCTCTCCCCCCTCTCCAGGTTCATCTGGAATCAGGCTGGAATTCTCAGGGATCAGCCTTTCCCGGCTCCTCTCCCTCCCCTCCCCGGGATGGAATTTTCCTCGGCCGAGGGACAAAGGGACAAAGTCCAGGAGCCGGGAAGGGGCCCTGGAGGGTCCCTGGGAACGTGATTCCCACCCGAGGCGGGGCCGGGAGTGGGGAAAGATCCTCCCCATTCCCAATGTCCTCATTCCCAGAGTTCCCATTCCCAGGATCCCTCATTCCCAATAATCCCCATTCCCAGTTCCTCCCATTTCCGGTGTCCCCTCCCGTTCCCAGTGTCCCTCATTCCCATTGTCCCCTCATTCCCAGTATCCCCCATTCCCATTGTCCCCCCCATTCCCAGTAAGAAATCAATTTTTGCCTTTTTTTTTTTATAATTTTTATTTATTTTTATTTCCTGCTTTTAATTTTCGTAACGTTTCGTTATTTTTCCTTTTTTAAATTTTTATTTCTTATTTTTATTTTTTTATTTAATTTCAATTCCTTTTATTTTATTTATTTATTTTATTTTACACAAGCGGGCCGGGGGGGACCACGAAGATACCCCTCATGGGCCAACACAGAGGGCTTTTTTTGGACAAAGAGGCTCTTAAAAAACTCTTTTTCCCTCACATTTCACACCCTTTCCCCCTCACATTTCCCACCCTTTTCCCCTCACATTTCCCGCCCTTTTCCCCTCACATTTTCCTCCCTTTCCCCCTCACATTTCCCGCCATTTTCTTCTCACATTTCCCGCCATTTTCCCCTCACATTTCCCACCCTTTTCCCCTCACATTTCCTGCCATTTTCCCCTCACATTTCCCACCATTTTCCCCTCACATTTTCCTCCCTTTCTCCCTCACATTTCCTGCCATTTTCCCCTCACATTTCCCACCATTTTCCCTTCACATTTCCCACCTTTTTTCCCTTACATTTTCCTCCCTTTCTCCCTCACATTTCCCGCCATTTTCTTCTCACGTTTCCCGCCATTTTCCCCTCACATTTTCCTCCCTTTCTCTCTCACATTTCCCGCCATTTCCCCCTCACATTCCCCGCCCTTTCTCCCTCACATTTCCCACCATTTCTCCCTCACATTCCCCACCCTTTCTCTCTCACATTTCTCCCCGTTTCTCCCTCCTGTTTCCTGCCCTTTTCCCCTCATTCCCTCCTGAGCTGCCCCCAGGTACGGACCTGTCGGAGGCGGCTCCTCAGCCCAGCCCTGCCATGGACTGGTTCCACTGCAATCGCTGCTATCGCCAGGAGGGCACCCAGTTTGCCGTCACCAGCTGCGGCCACATCCTGTGCCAGGACTGTGGGGGCACAGGTAGAAACACCCTGAAACAGAGGGAGGGGATTTGAACCCCAGAAATGCTGAGAAAGGGGGAATTTCCTTCAGTTTACCCCCTCAAAATGAGGGGAAAATGGCGGCTCCAGACGATAAAATTGGGTTCCTCTCCCTCAATTTAAACGTCTAAAACATCAGGGGAAAAAAAAGAGGGTTTTCCCCTCAATTTAAGTTCTTCAAATGATGGGAAAAGGGGGGTTTTCCCTCAATTTAAACCCTTAAAGTGGTGGAAAGGAAGGATCCCATCTCAACTGAAATCCCTAAAATATCGGGAAAAAAGAGGGTTTCCCCTCAATTTAAATTCCTCAAATGACGGGAAAAGGGGGATTTTCCCTCAATTTAAACCCTTAAAGTGGTGGAAACTGAAACCCTAAAAGGCAGGTCTTCCTTCAACCAAAACACTTAAAATCTCGGGTGAAACGGGGAGGATCCCCCTCGGTTTAAACCGGTTTAAACACAAAACAAGGGAAAACAAGGAGGGGTTTTTTTGCTGAATTTAACCCCCCTTTTCCCCTCAAATCCACCTTTTTTTCCTCTTTCCTCACTATTTTTTTCTCTCCCTCTCCTACAGGTCCCTGTCCCGTCTGTTCCTCCGCCTGCCGCTACCTGTCCCTGTCCCACCAGGCCAGTCGTGTCCCGTGTCTCCCCTGCCACCTTCTCCCCTCACCCTCATCCCTTCCCACCCTTCTTCTGACCTCTTTTCTCTCCCTTTTCCTGCCCTTTCCCCCTCACATTTCCCACCCTCTTCCCCTCACGTTTCCTGCCCTTTTCCCCTCACATTTCCCACCCTTTTCCCATCACGTTTCTCGCCCTTTTCCCCTCGCATTTCTCACCCTTTTCTCTTCGCATTTCCCACCCTTTCCCCCTCACGTTTCCCACCCTTTTCCCGTCACATTTCCCACCATTTTCCCCTCACGTTTCCTGCCCTTTTCCCCTCACGTTTCCCGCCATTTTGTCCCCTCACATTTCCCACCCTTTTCCCCTCACATTTCCCATCCTTTTTCCCTCACATTTCCTGTCTTTTTCCCCTCACATTTCCCCCCCTTTCCCCCTCAGATTTCTCACCATTTTCCCTTTATGTTTCCACCCTTTCCCCCTCACATTTCCCATCATTTCCCCTCACCTTTCCCACTCTCATCCCTCCCTTTTTTTCTCTCCCTTTTTCCGCCCCATTCCCAACAGATGCGCCCCCAGGATAAGCTTTTCTTCAAGAGTCCGGCATCCATTGCCATCAAGCACCTCTCCCACATCTCACAGGTGAGGAGCACGTGGGTGACAAGGGAGATGAGGATTGGAACCCTGGAATGGAACCACGGAATTGTTAAGGCTGGAAAAGACCTTTACGACCATCAGGTCCGACCATAACCCGCCACCACAGTCACGGCTAAACCACATCCTCAAGTGCCACATCCTCAAGGGGATGTGGGTGATAAGGGGACGATGCTCCAACCCTGTCCCTGGTCCCCTCATGGGTGAGGACATGGGTGACGAGGGGGATGAGGACGTGGGTGATAAGGGGGTGTAGGATGTGAGTGACAAGGGGGATGAGGATGTGGGTGACAAGGGGGATGAGGACGTGGGTGACAAGGGGGATGAGGACATGGGTGATGAGAGGGATGGGGATGTGGGTGACAAGGGGACGACGCTCCAGCCCTGTCCCCGCTCCCCTGGCAGGTGTGGCGGTTCCAGATGACCCAAGTGCAGCTGCTGCTGGAATCCCTGCGGGACACGGCTCGCCGGGCGCAGGCGGCGCTGGAGGAGGCCAAAGAGGAGCTGGCAGAGAGGAGGAGGTGAGGGACCCCTCCCTGCTGGGGGTCCCACCCGGGGGTTCCCACCCCCCGCCCACCATTCCCTCTCCCCTCCCAGGCAGGTGGAGTCTCTTCGCCGGGAGAACGCGGAGCTGCGCCGAGCTCAGGTGACCCCCCCAGTTCCCCCCCCTTGCCCCTCCCACGCCCTCCTGACCCCCCAAAAAACTGCCCCCCACCTCTCCCCGCAGCTCTCCCCGGGCTGGCTCAGGGGCAGCCGCAGCAGCACCCCCCGCCCCATCGGCATCACCTCCCCCTCGCAGTCAGGTAAAGGACTCCCCACGTTTTTAGGGGGGGTTCTCCACCCCCCTAAACCCTCTCCCCCTCATAGGAGCCCCCCCTAAATTCCTCCCTCCCTTCCAGTGACCCCCCAGCCCCGCCGGCAGCTCAGTGGCCAGGTGGTCAGGTGAGGAGAGGTGGCACCCCCGAATTTAGGGTGGGGGGTCCCCCAATTGCACGAGGGGGGAGGTGGGGGTCTCCCAACCCTCCCGCTCCTTCTCTGCAGCCGCTCGGCCCCGCTGGAGCCCCCCCAGTCCCGCAGCACCCCAATATGGCAGGTGAGACCTCCCCCACCGCCCCCCCAAAATGGGGGGGACCCCAAAATAAAGGGGGGGGCATTTCCCACAATGCTTTGCACCCCAGCCACAGGTGGGCGGAGCCTACAGGGAGTCAGGGACCCCCGTGGTCTCCAGCGTGGGTGAGCGGCCCCAAATCCCTGAGCTTTTACCCCAAAATGATGCCTCAAGCCACGCCCACTTGGCAACAAGCCCCACCCCTTGGGTCCTCAAGCCCCTCCTCCTGCTCCAAGCTCCACCCTTTGATTCAAAGCCCCTCCCCTCAGCTCAAGCCCCTCCCCTCATCTCCAAGCCCCACCCCTTGGCTCCAAGCCCCTCCCCTCGGATCAAGCTCCACCCCTTGGCTCTAACCCCTCCCCTCAAATCAAATCCCACCCCTTTGTTCCAAGCCCCTCCCCTCAAATCAAGCCCTGCCCCCCTGGCTTTAAGCCCCGCCCCTTCATTACCCCACACCCTTTTCCCTAATGACTCTTTTCCTAAGCCACGCCCCTTTTGCACCTAGGCCACACCCCTTTGTAGCCAAACC